CCCCCCCCTCCAATGCACACACATTCACAGTCTCAAGAGCAAGGAACCATGTACATCAGAAGGGGACAAAGCAACCAAATGTAGTGAAAGGTGAGAGCACAGCAACAAAACATGAGATGCAAAAACACCTACAGAGCACAAGGCACGAAACATATACCAACGTTTTCAAAGCCAAGCACGCATCGAGTTCACAATTGCCTGTCTTTTCATGTGGTAGCTCATCTGATGATTCATTGCATGGTGGCATGTAGCATTCTCTAATCGGTTTGCCCATCCCAAGATTGGCTGTTGATTTTCCGTGGGCCCATGAGTGGCAGCCAATCTCAAAACGTTCTAATTGGCCACCAATCCAGATAGTTGGCCAGGTAGGACCCAACAATGGCCTGGGATGTAAGGGACTGCCAATCCGGACCAGCTTCCCCACAGGACTCATCCATGCCCTAAGATGAAAGAGTTCTTACATTAGCGATTCTTTGCATGTATCTGTACAATAGTTGTGGCGCACTGCAGTGGTGCATAGTGCCATGCCCAGAAGAGTAGCGTGAGTGCAGGTGCCTTAAACCATTAGTACCTTTCCCGCGTGGGAAAATAGGGAAAACTGGCTACTCCTGAAAATTCGGAGGCCGGCCCCGACGACAACCGAAACGACTGCCATTATTAAATCTGATCGGCGACTGTCATTTCGTTTGTCGTTGGGCCCGGCCTCCGAATTTTCAGGAGTAGCCAGTTTTCCCTATTTTCCCACGCGGAAAAGGTACTCGGCGGCTGTCGTTTCGTTTGTCGTCGCGCCCCGCCTCCGAATTTTCAGGAGTAGCCAGTTTTCCCTATTTTCCCACGTGGGAAAAGGTACTACTGGTTTAAAAAAAAAAAAATAAAAAAAAAAATAAAAAATAAAAAATAAAAAAAACATGGCCACCCATAGCCCAAGCGGGCTAGCTCAATTGGTAGAGAACATTAAGTGCACTCAGGAGCTCATAGGTTCAATACCCAACGTCGTCCTTTCCATCCCCCCGGCCTCCCGGAGGATGCTTCGGGTTCACCAGAAGAGATTGTTGCCTTGGGCCTCCTGGCTGGTTGTGGAAGTGATTCTTTCCAGCCCGCACCAGACGTTAGGAGCTTGGGTACTGCTCCCCACACAGAGCAGGGATAGGTAGATGTAGACCCATAACCTTAGAATAGCTTAGTTCTGGTTAGTAAATTCAAGGTTAGTCCGTCTCTCTTCTGGCATGGATGACTCTGCAAAGTAGGTAGTTCCTGGTAGGCCCATAAGGGCCATAACCCTTAGGATTGACTCCTTGGCCTACGGTATAATAGGTAATGTGAGGTTCAAAAAAATGATGAGAGAAAGAAAAAAATAGTAAAATGCAGCTGTCCCCCGATGAGGGGAAGAGAGTCTGCACTTACAAACAAACAAACAAACAACAACAACAACTACAAAAAAAA